AGGGAATTCAGAAGATACATTTTACCTGAAGTACTAGAATGTGGAAATCCCTACCATCAAAGGGAACAATTGAACTGAATTCTATTGATACATTAACAGGAAACTGGCTAAGCATAGGAGGACAAGTGGATGGAGGGTTATGTCTACTGAGTTAGATTAAGAAAATGAGAGGAAGTGTGAGTGGAGCAGAAGCGCTGACATAAACTGGTTGGACTGGATGGACTGCTTTTGTGCTGTTTGCTTTACCAATCAAAAAGCAATTAACTTGAAAGTCTGAAATTCATAGTGCAATTCACTGAGAAACAGGATGGATGAACACAATGTCAAATTAAGTACAAAATGAGAAAAATAAGGAAAATAGATAGGATTAAGAGAGAAAGAGAGTCAGAAAAATAATTTTTATTTTTAAAAATCTCTTAAAAAGTCTTCAATGGTAAAACCTAAAGAAATGAGACTAATGAGACTCCACTTAATAATAGCTAATTGTCATTGTCAGGGAAGTTGACTGCCAGTAATTAACACTTATCTTTTTCAGATGACAACTTAACATTTTTACAAGTGTACTTTGTATCTCCAAGATCTGCTTTTATCACAAGAATGTAAATGCTATAGAGATGTAATTACCAGAATGTATTGAGTTTTAGAAAAAAAACACGATTGTCAATAGAAGATGGATTTCTGCTTCTGGCTTTATGAAAAGTCAGTTTAAAAATCTCTTTTATGAATTAATTTGAAATTTACTCATTTTACATGAAATTGCCTACAAATTAAACATAGGACTGAAGCCCAAGTTTCCAATGCTTCCAGTTCATCCCCATTGTTGATAAATCAATGTCAATTGTAATACTAATATCATAGCATCCTAGATCTTAACAAAGCCTTTGATTCAAAATGAGCAGCACCATAGGTCATTTTCTAATCAAATATGTAAGCACAGCCATAACACATTGAAATTGCAATGTTTCATTCTGAGTGGGCATTGTTTTCACCCACTGCTAGTGAACAGTATCAAACATTGGTCAACTATTTATTTTTAACAGATAGTTCTTATTTGCTTCCTCATAAAATATATCCTGGTATATCCCACAGGAGACAAAACGCCAAGGTATGTCCAACGCTGTGGCAACCATTGATGGCGAGTTGAGTTTTTTTATTAAGAGAAGTCCAGCTTCCATTGACCTTCTGTTAATTGCTTTTAGCTGGAGAGGAATTTATATTATACTGGCTTTCCAATGCATCTTCAACCCTAGAATCAGCACTTGTGCTACCAGAGGTTTCTAATATCATGTGCAGAAATTTCTTTTATTCCTTCTGTTTGC